GTTCTATCTTATTTCAATCCTTTTTATGTATGCCTGTGTCTGTTTGTGTGGGTGTGAGTGTATGTGTGTGTATGTATGTGTGTGTGTATGTATGTGTGTGTGTACGTGTGTGTGTGCGTGTGTGTGTGTGTAAGTGAGGGGCAGGGGTCAACTAAAAAAAACAACAACTCAACTGCGTTTTCCCAAGACTGAAGTGACAACGTCAGCTGTGAGACAAATCATCATAAATGCAAAACTTAATCGTTTGTTGTTGTTGTTGTTGTTAAATAGTTTTGTTTTTCTTGTGTGTGTGTTTGCTTTTCGTTTATTTGTTGTTGTTGTTTTTTTTTAAGTTAAGTAGGGCGCAAGATATTTGACACGTGAACATATACAGTGAGGCCACATAGAGGATTAATAAACTTGTAGTTGGGAGATGTCGTAACGACTCAGGTATTTCGTTGATGTAAACGAGAGGGGATCCGGGGCGAGAGCGGATGGTTTAATAATGAGGTAGAATCTATATTTAGGAGAAATATTTCGGAGAAAAAGGGTAAGGGGTGGAATAGATCTTCCGGTACACCCTTGTCCGGAAATAAAAAGTAAAGATGAGGAGGGTGGATGAGATTGAGGCAGATAGATTGACAAACAAGCAGTGAGAGGGTGAGTGGTGGGAGAGGAGGGAGAGAGAGGGGGGTGGAAGGAGGAGAGGTGGAGACGGAGACAGAGAAAGCGAGAAAGACAGGAATACAGAGAGGGAGACAGAAAGAGAAAAACAGAGACAGACAGAAAGGGCGAGAGAGAGACAAATAGATAGACAAACGGACAGACAGAAGAGGGAGTCGGAGATAGGGTGAGGGATTTTACGGGAGAAAATGCCAGTTCAAATCAGAGAAAACGTCCAGATTGCTGCGTCATGCCACACTGGTGTCTGTAGTGTTAAAAGTCAAAAGGTTTCGTCCTTCGCTGTTGCATGGCAAAGGCGTGAGCTTAATCCATGTGCGCTGCTGAAAAGTCCAAACCATTTTGTCCAGTCTGTCAATCTTTCTACCTCCTAATTATGATCTAAACTGTATGAAATGTGGGTGATAAACGTATTTAGACATTGTCTGTCGAGCTGCAGTTGTAGAGTAGATATTTATACGGTACAGGTGTGGTAGGTAAGTTAATTAATAAAATTGGGTTCTTGAAGGGACACAAGGTTGAAAATGATAGTAATTTGATGGTGGGCCGGGAAAGTTGACTTTTGAGTTCGTCGAGTGAAGCGTTGTATAATCTATTTGTTATTATAATACATCAAGGCGACTGTCTTTTTTTCAGTGTGCGTTTTTAGTTGTTTGCTTTTATTTTTTGTTTTGTTTTGTAGTTTTGTACATTTTGATTCTTTGTTTCTGCTTAGCTTGTTTGTTGTTTTTTGTGGGCTTTTTTTGTTTGTTTGTTTGTTTCATATTTTGTTTGTTGCTGTTTTTCATGTGGAGGGGAGTTGGTTGGGTTTTGGAATGTTTATTATGTTTGGTGTGGGTTTTTAAATTTAATTTAATTTTATTTTATT